TGTCACCTCCTCTATCATCCTACCCCCCATCCCTGCGAGGGCTGAGCCCTGTGGCCGTTGTTCCCCATGCAAAGCACTTCTGCTGAGAGTTAGAAATGAACCAGTGTAGGGACTTAAATATATTAATTGAATAAGTTACATGAAAAATAGTAGGATGATAAATATATTGGGGATTGAATGGATAATTTACAAATTTGGGCCTCCCTGGTGGCACAGAGTGTTGAGTGCTGAGCTGTGAAGCAGTCTACAGCCTCTGCAGCGTGGGTTTGATTCCCGGCCTGCCAGAGAGATACCCACATACCTCTCCTGCCTCGCCTGCTGCTCCCCTCAGCAGTGTCTTTGGTCCGTCTGCCTGTTCTGCTCCCCACTGTGTCTCTGGTGAATTCTCTCACCTCCCCTACCTCTGGCCTGTACCCCAGTTCTTGTATAAATAAATAAATCTTTTTTTAAAAAAAAGAAAATTGACAAATTCTTAAGATGGGACACAGGATTTCAAAGAAAGTTCCTGTTTCCGGTAGGGACTTTAAATGCTATCTCCAGAAATTAAAGTTTAGAGTTCCAAGTTTACACTCGTGAACTTATGGGGGATATTTGGATGAAAGAGTTATAGAAGTCTGGAACACACCATACCTCTTTTCCTCCAATTACTTCCTTTTTTATGTATCATTATCTCTCTATGTATAAGCCAGAACTGAAGAGAGGCTCTAGCCAATGCTGGAGAAAAGATCTTACATGCCTCATTCTATATACAGACCCAGGTTTATTTCAATGTTGGATCTACATACTGATTTATTAGTTGTCTAATGCACACTCTCAGGTTTTCCCTGACATTTTTAAACTTTTCAAATTATTTTGTAATATATATATTACAAAATCTTCCATTTCAACCACTTTTAAGTGTATGGCTCAGAGGCACTTAACAAATTCATACTGCCGTACAGCATGGCCACTACCTACCCACAGAACTCTTTCATCAACCTAGACACTTTGTACCCATTAACAATAATGGCCTACACCTCAGTTCTTTAATGCATAAAAAAAAAAACCCAACCAATTATCATATGATTCCACAATTCCACTTTTGGTTATACGTACAAAAGAGTTGAAAACAAGGAATCAAACTTACTTGTATACCATTGTTCATAGCAGCAATATTCTCAGGTTATTCTACTTTCTGTCTCTATGAATTTGATTACTCTAGGTCTTGCATATAAATGTAATCATACAATATTTGTCCTTTTAGATTTGGTGTATTACACTTAGCATAGTATTTTCAAGGTCATCCATGCTGCGCCATGTGTCAGAAATTTATGCCACTGCATGGAGATACGTACACGATGGGTTGTTTACACATTTTGGCTGTTGAGAATATTGCTGCTATGAACAATGGTATACAAGTATGTTTGATTCCTTGTTTTCAACTCTTTTGTACATATAACCAAAAGTGGAATTGTGGAATCATATAATAATTGGTTGGTTTTTTTTTTTTTATTTATGCATTAAAGAACTGAGGTGTAGGCCCAAAGTGCAGGGGAAGGGGGTTGTGAGAGGATTCACCAGAGAAAGAGCAGGGAGCAGAACATGCAGATCCACCAAAATACACTGCTGAAGGGAGTATTGGATGAGACAAGAGAGGTCCAATACGCCATGTGGGTCAGCTCTCTGGCCGGCTGGGGAATCGAACTTATGCTTATTAGCACTATCTTTAATACCTGCGACACCAGGGAGGCCCTAAAAATTCTGTTTTATATCTTTTGAGGAACTGACCCTGTAATTTTTTTTCCTATGTATTTCCAGAATTAGTTCTCATTGCCTACTTACACAGCTTATTTTGCCTCTTATGTACTATCCTACATTTCTCTAAGCCACACCTCTTTTGCTTATTCCTTTTCATTTATTAAGGGATTTAGAATTGTGATCTTATGTTCTACAGTACTAATGTTCCCCAAGATACAAATTTTGAACCTCACTCCTTGGAACAAACTGCTATTTTCCATATCAGATGGTACATTATTTAAAAGGGTCAAGAAAAAAAGCACTTTTTTAGGGGGAGAAAAAGCAATTTTTCCAATCAGTACCAAGATACAAGTCTGATATGAGTCAGGTAGACATATCAGGAAAATGGGATTTCTGATTTACAAGTGTTTCACATATGAACATCCTGATAGGCAACAGAAGACATCAGGAGCCAAACTCCTTCTGCAGTAGCTGAGGATATTTGTCTACTGCCACAGAGATGGTGACCATCTGGGACTCCTACTTTTTAATGTGACCATTAGACCCCACATTTCTTCCACTTCCATTTCCCTCTCTCCTTCTTGATATCAAAACTCTGGTGCCACCCCCACTGTAGTTACCTGTCATCATAGTAAGAACATCTATTCTCACTGGAGGAAGACAGTTCCTTTAGAAGCAAAAGAATCTCAGTTGGGACACTGCATGATTTTACACAGAGAAACAATGCTCTTTCCTACCCTAACAACCCTGTCCATTCTCTCTCCTAGCTATTTCAAAAGCAACGCTTCTCCCCTGCCTCCTCAGCTTTGGGTAAGACCCTCATCTCGACCACTGCAGTGGGTGCTAAACTGGTCTCACCCTCAGTCAGGATTTCTGCCCCACACTTAACACCTTGGGGAAATCTGCCTGTCACCAGCTCAATGTCATTGTCACCAAAGCTTGAAATGTCAATACTCAAAGAACCTAACCACACCACACCTCTGCTGGATGGCTCTGCAACATAGTCATTTTTTTGTTGTTGCTTGTTTTTTACTTCTTGTCTAGTTTATACCTTTCTCACCCATTACTTTATATGCTTAAATGCTTTTGTTTGTTTGGCTAAAATGGAAAAATGACTAAAGCCCATACCATCCATATAGTAAGTTCAATAGCAGTGGGGAAGAAAGTTAAAGAGAATAAATTGAAAGGTAAAAATTATCCATCACCTCCTAGTCATTTTAGCCAACACTGGAATGGTATCCGTTTTCTCTTCTTTCCCTTTTGAGGATGGTGTTGAAAGCAAAATAGTCAAGTTACTTCTTGAATCATCCTAATCCTTTCTTCCTTTTACTTATTAGTCGCCATCTTCAGCCACTGAAGAGGGAGATTCTTCAAACCCTCTGCACATCTAAATCTCAGAATGCAATTGTGAAATTGTACTTGATTTCCAGATGTCTGAAGAAGCTTCTTGGTTCTTGCTTTATTAATGACGATCTGTCATCCTCACAGCCCCTCCCTACAATTTCCATCCTAAAATACCATCGCTGCCACCAAAGTCAGTTGCAAATATTCTTGTAAACAGCCTTAAATGCTTTTAAAGGTAGGTCAAAGATATATGTTAATTAAGTTAAAATTCAGGTGGCCATTTATCCCAGTTTATGCAGGTTAGTCCCAGTTTATGTCTATTGCCCTGCATAATTTTTTACAAATCTCCCCTTTTTACTCTTGAAACAAATTCCAGTTTGGAGGATAAATTCTTTGTTCACCTTAGTTAAAAATACAACTTTCCTTCCTGCTCCCCCAGTAAAGTGCCTTGCAGGTGACACAGTGCTTTTGGCCACATCAATAGCACTTCATATGCATAGCAACTTTGCAAAGTAAGAAAAGAAGCATTTTATTTCTATTAAATGAAGTAACCGAGGCTGTCTGCAATACTCAGTGACACTCAGTGACAGACTCACCTAGGACTTCTGACATCAAGTTCAATAATGTTCAGCAGTGGACTGCTGTGTGTAAATATAACTGCAAACAAGTAATCAACCTGTACTTGGACCTAGAATAGTTGAGACAGGTTTGCTCTTGCCAGAGACTGTCCTTTCACATTTACAGCAAGCAAAAAGATGAAAGAAGAATTATGTAAACATTAAGAGTCTGTTAGTGAATCCTGAGGCCAAATGACATATATCTTTGATTTAGTAGGTGTAATTACATCAGATTATTGGAATCTTACATCAACCAAATTAGGATGGCTCAGTCAACACAAGAAGGGGGAGGAAAAAAGAGAAAGGAAGGAAATAGGGAAGGAGAAAGAAAAGCAACATAGATCAATAATGAATGCCTACTCTTACAAAGAACATATAGATGGGGGGGTGGGCTCTCCTGGTGGCGCAGCGGTTGAGTGCTGGGCTGCGAAGCTGCCCACAGCCTCTGCAGCGCCGGCTTGATCCCCTGATCCCCGGCTGTAGACATGGGTCCCACATGGTGCGCAGACCTCTCCTGACTCACCCGCTGCTCCCCTCAGCAGTGTGCTTCATCAGTCTGCCTATTCTGCTCCCTGCTCTGGCTCTGATGAATTCTCTCACCCTCCCGCGCTTCTGACTGTACCCAGTGCTTGTATAAATAAATAAATAAATCTTTAAAAAAAAAAAAAAAACTATAGATGGGTTCTATGCCAATTTTATAGATGTATTTTTCCTATGATTACGCACTAATTCTCTCTCTTTTTTTTAAACCTAAAATCGGTACCCTCCTTGGAAAAGTGTCAGTGAGAAACTGGAGGAAAAACCTTGGTCCTTCAAAGACAGGCACGGTGCTTGCAAGGTCTCCAGGGCACCACAGGGGTACAGAATGCGCAGCCACGCCAGTAAACAAATGCACCCCCTCCTAACCTCCAGCCACAAGAGACGGCCCCAGGACCCGCAGCCGTGCCCCCTCTCTTTGCAAGGACAGAAAGGGGTCTCGTGTGCCTCGGCAAAGATGACTCCAAACACACCCCGGCTAGTATAGCTGGACGCAGCAGAGCAGGAGGGACGTCTCTGGGGCACCGTGGGCCCTGCAGCCCGACCGAGAAGGAGGCGGGCGCCCGCCCGCTCCGCAGGAGGCTGCGGGATCTGAAGGTAGGAGGCCAGGGGCGCACTGGCGCGCGCCCCGGGACGAGGGGCGGGGGTGTGGAGGGCCGGGCACGCATGCGCCTCGCCGCCCCGCGGGCCGGAAGAACCCGGCAGCGGAGCCGCTGCTGCGGGCGCCAGACGCCCGGCGGCCCCCGGGACAGCGCTGGCCGCGCCATGCAGCCCCTGGACAGCGCCGGGGCCGCCGAGCCGCTGGAACCTGGGCTGCCACTGACGGACGGTGAGCCCCCGGGCGCACAGGCGGAGCCGGCGGCCACCGAGGCAGGGGAGACTCCCGCCCCCAGTAGGTGCTGCCTGTGCCGCTCCTCGCCGTGCGGCTCGTGCGCGCAGCCGGGTGAGTGCGGGGTGCGGACCCGAGAGCGGGTCTCGCCCTTGCGGGGCCGGGCGGGTGCCAGGGCTTTGGGGTCCAGCTGCCGCGGGCTGGGGACTCAGTGAAGATTGCGCTCCCCAAACCCACCCTGCTCTGAGATCGGAAAAATCCTGCTGCTGTCACCTGGGGGGTTGCAAAGCAGAAGCCCAGTACGCCCCCGCCGGCGCAAACACAGGAGAAAGTTTCTGTGTTTGGAACCTTTCTAGAATTCTGAAATGGTTTATGTAATTAGGGTAGAACCGTGGAGTCACAGTACTGTTCAGTGCACCCAGTCCGAGGTTGGAGGTTGGGGGTGGGGTGGGGGGTGTCAGCTGGAGAGGCCATCCCCAAGCCTGTCGAGGTTGGGAGGAAGCTAGCCATGACTGCTGAGGTCGGTGATAAACGATGTTCCTCGAAGAGGGAGTAAAAAGGCATGGACTCTCGAAAATGTTTGGTCCAGTCTTAGAATCTTGTGAAGGCAGAGTGGAGTTGGGCCACAGGTTCCTAACCTTTTTTGGGTTATGAGGACTTTTTAGCAACTGATGCAAGATGAAGCAGAGGCACAATTTTCATACACTAAGATGTTCCGGGACCCATCCCCAAGGAACTGGTGAAAAGCCACTGGTTTGTTCAACCTATGTCTTTGATAAATAAGGAAAGTGATGCTCAGGTGAAGGTGAGGACTTGTGTGTTGGTGGAGGGAGGTGTGGTTGGTTTCCCCTAGTTCTGGCCTGTGTGGGCAAGACACTGGTGCACAGGTCTGGGCAACATCAGAGTTAGGATTCCAGCTTGCCAGTGACCCAGCTCAGGGCCTTTTCTACTGACTAGAGTGCTGCTTTAGCAGGCATATTCCTCCTTGAATTCCACCACCCACCTGGAGCTGTGTCGTGGAAGGGGAAATAGGCAGATCTCCTTTGAAGACAAAGTTACACAGCACACAGCACCCTGGGTCACCTCCCCTAAGTTGTGACTGGGATGTCTGTGCCTCTTACCCCACCCGACTTTTCCCTTCTGCCTGTGTGCACTTTTCCCAATTTAGAGACAACCCCAGAGAGATAATTCTTGCTCCATTTTTGTCCTAAATCAGACTTTTGTCATTTCTGCTTGGGCTGGTGCCACCAGAGCAGGGATTACCCCCAGCTGGCTTGACCAGATGTGCAGCCCTTGGAAGTCAGTTTCTCACCTTATTGTCCTATGGCTGAATGTCATTCTGGTGGAATACTGAGTTAGTCCTCAAAAAAGGTAAACATTTCCCATTTGTGAACTGAAGACCAGTATTGTATACATAGGCAGCATGTGGCAAAATGACAAGCCAGTACGAGTAATTGAATGAAGGAAAGCTCTTCACAGGGAGAAGGGAAAAGTAGGGTGGAGTAAAAGGTCTTGTTAGTATCTTTTAACTTCAAAGAAAGTTACCAGATAATATTCCAAAACCAAATAATACTCCCAAAACTAAGTCCAAAAGACAGGTATTATAAGTAATCAGAAAATTCCAAAAACAAGATTGCCATAGAACACATTTTAAACCACTATATTGTGGTCATTGAAACTTTTTGTTACAGTATCATTTTAGCCTGACTGGAACTGGTTATCTCAACAAAGTTTATTTTCAAGTTCACACTGAAACTGTTATCCACTTTCTTACATTCCTAGATAACCTTAACAGACAGCACAGCTATCCGAAGATGCCTATTTATTTTCTTCAAGGACAGTATGTGTCTTAGATATGTGCCTCACCTCCACCCAGAAGGAGTGCGTTTTCTTGGGTAGCAGTGAATCTTAAACAGTGGAGCTTTTTACAGTTACAGGGATTCTGTAGCAAAAAGTCCGGGGTAAAGCATGGAAACAGAAGTTTTAAAACTTTCTCAGGCGATTCTAATTCCCAACCCAGGTTTGTGAATCACCAATTTAAGGCAAAGGATAAAGAAACTGAGCAACTTTTCCGTTTTCTTTTAAGTCAGGAAATTGCACTGTAACCACTTACTTAATTTGAATTATTTAGTTGCCAAATTATTAGATAAGCTTGTAATAAAATATGCACATGAAAACACATTACATAAGCAAATACCTCTTTGAATCATGATACTCTCTTGCTCATCTCCATTAACAGAAAGAATCAAAATTATTATTCAGCAAGAGATTGAGGTTTGCCTGAGTAGCACCAGTCCTCCAAAGGTATTTATCCTCAATAAATAATCAAGTTTGGCTAGCCCTGGTAACAATTTCCCAGTCAGGAAGGATGGATCTTAAGTGCTTATAGGCAAGAAAATATGCGAGTGGTGTGTGTTTTAAGGAAAAAGATCATCAAAGTTAAGGGTGTGAAATTAAGTTTTGAAAGAGTTAAAATATCATGTTAAGTTAAAATATCCCTGGAGAGAATTTTAAAAGTTTAAATTGGAGAAGACCCTTGAAATATAGACCAGGGAGATGTTTTCTGTCCTTGACCTTCCCTTTCTGTTCTGTTCTAAGGTGTTGGTTCTATGTATAGGTGGGGTTTCTTTTAAGAAAAACTATTTTATTTGGATCTGAATTCTGAAATTTCAGAAGCTCAACTCTAAGGCTAACCACAGCCAAGACATGTATTTTGTGGTGCTCAACTTGGAAGTCTTCTCAGGCTTACTTTTCATGGGCTGAGTGGGTGTGCACAGTTTGCTTCTGCAGTAACTAAGGGTATGAGTACAGAACAGAACATGGAATATTCTGACATTCTATAACATATGGCCTATAACATGACAGCTCCTAGCTCCAAATCATTCTCTTCAGCTGTGAACCTAGAATAGGAAGAAGCTGAGGTCTCTGACCAGAATGGCATCCATTATTATAATGGACAGACTGTAGAAAGTCTCACAATAACTACTCAGTATCAAAGCACTTGTCACTTATAGGCAAAGGTATCTAGCTAACATGAAAATCTTGAAATGTATTACCTGGTATTTGCATTTATCAGAGAAGGGCATTTTAAAAAATCGTTATCATACAATACTGTTCCATAGCTAAGTAACAAATTACAAATTCCTGGATTGGAATGACAGTCCTGGTTTTACTGCAAATTGCATGTGTCTGCATATCTTTCAGCTCCACTATGCTCTTAACTGATGAGAACCAGTAGTGTCCTTATTATCCTACTTTATTATCTTTCTTGGTTTTGTGCTAATTTCAAAATATATACACATTTTCAGTGCCTGGCCTATCTTTTAGGAAGTCCTCTGTTTATCCTGCTCCATTTTGTCCTCCTCTGATTGAGACTAAAAGCATGCTTCTACTTCTGTCTCAGCCACCTAAGGCAGGAAGTGGCTGAAAACAGTTTCATGTTCATGCACTGTCATTAATTGGTTGAATACTTGACGATCTGGAGAAAGCAGAAATTTGGTTCACATCAAGCCACAAAGTTAACATCAAATGACAGTTCTAATTAAAAAGAAAAAAAAAATCAGGGTCAGAGAGGTAGATGACCAGTCCCTGCCCTCAAAGAATTTATGCTCTAAATGAAAGATGTCATAAACCATGAAAAAGTTAAAGATTCAATTCAAATAAAGATTTGATTCAGACTGTTCAAAATAACAAAACAGAAGCCTCCCTGGATTATGCCATTGCCAGTGGTGTCAGACTCTGCATCTTTCAATGAGTTTCTCTCATATTCTTTTTTTTTTAAATTTATTTATTTATTTATGCATACAAGAGCTGAGGTACAGGCCAGAGATGCAGGGGGTGAGAGGACTCACCAGAGACAGAGTGGGGAGAGAAAAGGCAGACTGACTGAAACACACTTGCTGAGGGGCACAGCGGGCAAGACAGGAGAGGTCTGCTGTGCTTTATGGGTTACTCCCTGGCCGGCCGGGGATCGAACTCGTGCTGCAGAGGCTGTGGATTGCTTCATAGTATGGTACTTAATCCCCTGCACCACCAGGGAGGCCCTCTCTCATATTCTTTCATTCAGAAAAGAACACAGGGTCTTCTATGTATCACGGATGAACAAGACAGCTGAGGGCTGAGCCTTAGTGTTCCCAGGCTTCTAGAAGTCAGATAATCAGGTAGCCATATAACAGTTACAAATTGATTTTCCAGAAGAGAACACTTCTTCCTGTAAAGCCCAGTTCACCAGTGAGATTCTATAAAATATTATCCTTTGGAAGCATTTTTCTCTAGCATCTTGGCAAATGTTTCTTAAAGATTTCTTTCCCCACCTTCATAAGCTTTTACTTCTTTTCAACCTATAAACAAGGGATGATTCTTTAGCGAGCCAAAGGAAAGCCATTTTATACAGGCTTAAAATGTTTCCTTCATCTATGGTTCTTCCTTCTTGGTGAGAAAAAAGGTTCAGGTCCAGAGAATGGACATGCATAGGAGGTAGGATTTGTAGCCTGCTAGGCCATTAACACTGTTCCATTTTTCTCAATTTCTTAGTGAAAATGATAAAATATATATACTTGGAAACAAGGACTAACCAAAATTTAATCTTTTTCAGAAGCCAAGAAGAAAACACCCTGTCCTGGACTTGGCTTGTTTTACACATTATTGTCTGCCTTCCTTTTCTCAGTGGGCTCTTTATTTGTTAAAAAAGTGCAAGATGTCCATGCTGTAGAAATTAGCGGATTTCGATGTGTGTTCCAAATGCTAGTCATTATCCCTTGCTTAATATACAGAAAGTAAGTATTTCTTAGCTGCAAAGTAGAAGATAATAATAAATATTTTGTAAGTCTTTGGCCTGCTTAAATTGTTTGTTCCATAGTATCTGCTTTATCCCACTCATGAATTTCCCAGTTCTTATATGCTTAGGCGCTGATTAATGAAAAAATCACAAAGATCCACCCACAGGAGATTCTTGTAAACACAAACCACATGCTCAACAAAAAGAGAAAAAGATTCAGATACTCAACACCCCCCATTTGAAAACAAAACTTTCTTTGTATACTGTCCCACCTTGTACCACCCTCCATTTGTTCCTTTGGCATAATTAGTATTTGGCAGGAAAAAAAAATAGCCAAGAGGAAGTAGTAGTGCCTCCTAATGTCCAGAGTTTCTTTATATAATATAGGCTGCTCTCTCATCAGTATACACAGACGTTTACAGTCATATTTAGGTTTTTCTCCAAGGGTGATTTGGAAAGTGAAAGGTAATTCTGAAACAAGTCTTTTAAGTCCTTTCCTGCCTAGGTTCCTCATTTGTGAACTGGAGGGGATGATATTCTTTGTCCTCATGGTGGTTGTCAGGGTCAATGAAATTTATTATAGATTGGAGTGTTTTATGTAGAATGTATCAGTATATGAAAACTATTTTTATTTTCCATCCTTACTGTTCTCTCTCCACCCCAGCCACTTTTCCACCTCCATATGGACCCCACCCCTAACCACATCCCAGGTTAAAATTTTATAGGGTGTGTGATAACCTGTATATGCCCCTGTGTTAGTAGAACCTTGGGAGAATAGACTAGTTGGACCTCTGGTAGCTGCCTGACTTTCTCTTTGGGGGCAAAGATGCATAAACCCTTCAGTTGCTTATCACCAAAGTCGTCTTTTATCTATAACACAGTGCAGATTCACTTAAAAAAGGTTTACTCAATATATCGAGGATTTTTTTTTAAGTAAGATATTCCTGTGTAAGTGTGGAAAAGCTACAATATTTTAGGAAATGATGGTGAGACTTTAGACACTTCTAAGGGTGGCAACAGACCACTGATGTTACCACAGTCATCTTCCCCCTTTTATAAAGAAAGCATCAGTAGGGAGAAGACACTAGAAGAGTTTTTTTTTAGTCCTGGCCAGTAATCTTTTAACTCATTTTATGTTTCTCTGTCACTGAAGATCATTAGCTTCTTGAAGTATGAACACAAGGTGACCACACTTTTATTTCTAACTCCCAAGACCCTGGGGCCTCCATGTAGGCCTAGATGTGTCCCTAAAGATGTCCAGCTCTGTTCCAGATCAGTGAGCTGCACCTAGCCAGGAACTTAACACAGTATCCTCCTTAGTAAATATTCACTGAAAAAATTTGAGTAGTGATTATTATACATCTATTCTTTTCCAATGTGTTTTAATTCTTTTTCTAATGAGAACATTAAAAAGTTGATTTGCATTTAATAACTAAATTTTAACACCAGTTTAGCTTTTACAGAAAAAGTTTAAGACTGAGTGTCCACTAACCATGATCAACAGTGGCTCAATCTTGAAATTTATAGTTATTGTAAAAACACATTTTCACTACAGAAGATTTGGGAAAAATAAAGAAGGAAAATTACTTATGCATCTATCTATTATACAAACACAGTTAACACTTTAGTATATTTTCTATTTTGTCTTTCTTGTAAATATATACATATATGGGAAATAATATATATATTTACTGCACTATAATTATACCATTTTACAGTTCTCTTGTACTATTTTTGCTTACACTTTGAATACTTTAATATCAGTATCCTAAACAAAATATTTAGGTGCATAATACTCAATTATGCATACTATCATAATTATCACTATTTCCTTATTTCTCAATACTTGGGACTTATACAATGATGTTTAATTCAAACTTATAATTTAAGAACACATTCCAACTTCACTGAATATGCATCCTTTACTTGAATTGACAGAACTGGGTTTATAGGCCCAAAAGGTCAGCGAATCTTACTCCTCTTCCGAGGCGTCCTGGGGTCTACGGCAATGATCCTCCTATACTACGCGTTGCAGTCCACGTCGCTCGCTGACACCACAGTCATCACGTTCAGCAGTCCAGTATTTACATCTATATTTGCTTGGATATTTCTTAAGGAAAAATACAGTCTATGGGATGCTCTCTTCACCACCTTCGCAATCACAGGAGTGATCCTCATTGTCAGGCCCCCGTTTTTATTTGGTTCTAACACTACAGGGATGGAAGAAAACTATTCCGTTCACTTGAAGGGCACGTTCGCAGCCATTGGACATGCTGTATTTGGTGCCTCGACTCTCATTATCTTAAGGAAAATGGGGAAATCTGTGGACTACTTTTTGAGCATTTGGTATTATGTAATCCTTGGCCTCATCGAATGCGTCATCGTCCTCTTTATATTAGGAGAATGGAGTCTGCCGTACTGTGGGCTGGATAGACTGTTTCTCATTTTGATTGGGCTCTTTGGTCTGGGCGGTCAGGTGTTTCTCACCAAAGCCATTCAAATAGAAAAAGCAGGACCAGTAGCAATAATGAAGACGATGGATGTGGTCTTCGCTTTCATCTTTCAGATTATTTTCTTTAATGATGTGCCCACGTGGTGGACAGTGGGTGGTGCCCTGTGCGTTCTAGCCAGTAGTACTGGAACAGCCATTCGTAAATGGTGCCAGAGTTCCAAATGAAGCGTCATCACGAATGTGTTTTCAAATATACCGTCACCCAGTTCAGACCCTCCACAGATCCACACATCTAGAAAGGATGACTTTACTCCATTGATTATATGGAATAAGGTTCGTAATTCCAGTACCCTTTTTGAACATGGTATGTCTTCAATTTGTAAGAACAGCCAGTTGGTTGAGTCTAGCAATTTTTTATTATTATTTTTTTGTTCTGGATTTGGATTTTTGTTGTTATTAAGATGGCGCTGGCAAGAGGACAACTCATTAATTGAAGAAAAATTGGGAAAAAAATATGACTATTCTATGTAACTTTTAAAGTGTATTTTTGGTACTGATGGACTAAAGGTGGGAAAGAAATTCCAGATATTCTTTTAGTTAGTGTAGATGCTAAGGAACTTACTGGTAATAATGCTGCTATAATTAATATGTTGATAATTCATTTGAAACATAATTCCATTTAGGAGGCCAAAGCTGAAACTTGGTATAATAGGTGCCTACTTAATGGTGTTAATAATACAAATGAGGTGGCCTTATTATCAAGGCTTTTATAAATGATTATCATTCTTTTAACTCATATTTGTGCCTTTTCATTTTAATGCTGGAATTTTTATATGTAAACTTTAAAAAAAATTTGAAGTACCAAATTTGGCTAATAGTTTTCTGTTTAGGTGGCATTTTATTAGCAACTGTAGCTTTCATTATATAATTTTAATTGCCCTCTGTTTTTTGAAGCTGTATTAAATTTTTCTTAACTTTCTAAGATTTCAGGTCTTTAAATCACAAGAGAAGTCTTGGCATGACTAGCATGCACATTTCCATCCTGAAGTGTTTTCCCCTCACTAAAAATATGACTTCCTGTAAATTCTTCTTGAATTTATAGTGTGATGCCAAATAAGATTTTCTCAGGATTTTATTAGGTTGAACCATATGAAATTGCTGAGATTTTACCTTTTTAACTTAAGAACACTGTTGTTTCTTATGGTTTTTCCTAATAGATACCTCTCATACCCTCTAAACCAAATACTTAGAGGACTTTGAAATATATATATATTTTTAAATAACTTTTTAAAGTACGGTAATCCTAATTAAACTTATTTTTATAGTCTTTTTCCCTTATGAGTTACATGTGATAATGCTTTATGTTATATGTTAAATGTAAAGACCTGTGAATCATTGGTTGACTTTTTGTAGTTTCTTGAAAAGAAAAAAATCAGTTCATTTTCTGTATCAGTATGATATTAAATGTCAAAGCTGTACCATGTAACCAGCGTAAGATCTCAAAAAACACATTTTATATCTGGAACTTCATGCCAATACTCTGCATTTAAAGAGAGAATTTAATATTTAGGAAAGCTTGGGAAATTAAGCAGGAAGTAATGCAAATGATCCTTTTGTCACAGTGATTCCTTTATGGGTGAAGGTATAATGGCCTCCAGCTCTTACTGTGTCAGACCCTGTTGTTTAATATTATCTTAAGCCTACAGATTTGAAAGATGGTAGGGATTTTCACCATCTTCTCATCACAACTCTTCCAAAGAAGGAACTTGGCTTCTGAGGTATATGCCTGAGTGAGAAAGGATCTTTTCCAATACTTCCAAGAAGGAATGTCTGACTTGCTGATCTTCCCAAATGCTTCCCACTTGAAAATTCCTAAATGAAGTCTATTTAGGGGAGTCACCTCTATCATCATAACTTTATCCTAATCCACAATATTGGGGTTGAGAGTTGCAAAAGCATCGTTTTGTAAGTATTTTAGGTAACGATATAATTGGAGCATTTTAGAGTTCTATGGTTAGAAATTCTCTTGCTCTGTAGATAAAGATGCTAGAGAGAAGATCTGACTGAAATGGTTTCCATGGCCTTTCCCCCTCCCTTAGTTCCATGACAAGTATGAAAAGTAAACCACTGAGGAGCTCTCTAAAGTAAATTAACTCTCAGGGATCCCTTCCCAGTTCTTTACCGTATATAATAAGAGAACCTATGGGACCTTGAAAGTTAAATTCCTTTGGACCTATATATTAGAGACATGTTTTATTTCAACAGTGTGGTTTAAGTACTTGAATGTCACAAAAAATGTTTCTTCTCCCAACTTTTACAGGGTGTGATTCTTAAATGCTTTTTTTAATGTTCCAGGTATATATAAGGATATGTATTGTAACCAATATGGGTGTGTATATTTTGCAAAGATTGTAGTGTCTATCTTGAGAAGGAAACTATTTTCATAAATTGTTTTTATTTTATAAGTACTAATAAAATTAATATGAAAAAGGTATATTTTGGTTTTTATGATATAGCAATGTGTTATTTAATATAACATTTCATTTTTATCCATATGCTTCAAAAATCACTTTATAAAGGAGTCTGAGCGCTAGCCATTCTGCTGTGACATTATATCAAGTTTTTTTTTTTTTTTTTTTTTTTAAGATTTGTTTATTTTATACAAGCACTGGGTACAGTCAGAAGCGCAGGAGGGTGAGAGAATTCACCAGAGCCAGAGCGGGGAACAGAACAGGCAGACCGACGAAATACACTGCTGAGGGGAGCAGCGGGTGCAGCAGGAGAGGTCTGTGCACCACATGGGACCCTCACCGGTGGCCGGGGATCGAACCGGTGCTGCAGAGGCTATGGGCAGCTTCACAGCCCAGTGCTCAACCGCCTGCGCCACCAGGGGAGGCCCACATTATATCAAGTTTTGAACTGTTTCTCTGTCCCTCTGATACTGTCACATTAAATTCAGTCTCTTAAAAGTTAAGGCCCTAATCTTCTATTGTAGTGAGGCCTGCAGTCTCTTGACCTCCAGAGCTTGGCGTAGCTTTCAACTCTGTACTTGTTGTTCTGATGGCTAATCTCTTACTAAGTCCTGCACTTCCCATGCTCTTAGTGCCTTCTGGACTCATTCTTTCCTTGTCATTTCCACTGTTATCATTTCAGTACAAGACTTATCACTTAATACCTAAATTGCCACAATAATATCCTAATTCATTTAACCACTGCTAGATATTTCGACTCAGTTCCTTAGACCACTGTCAGACCATCTTTCTAAAGTCCTACTTTCATTGTTACTCAGGTACCCATGAAACTACAATAAGAATGCCTTATTACATATCACATTCAAATTATTCATCTGGTCATCTTCCCACTTTCCAACCGTATCCTCCATGTACCACCATATTCAATTATCAGATCAATTTCCCCACCAACTCTCATATTTACGAAGAGATTCCTTCCTCTGTTTTCCCTACTTTCTTTGTCTACTCTATTCTTACCCTCTAAGTCAGCCTCCAAAGGCTCAGCTTAAAGTTTTGTTTCTTCCAGTCTCCAGCTTCTCCCACCCACATTAGTCTACCTTGAAAAAGTAAATAAAGCACTGATTTAGGAGTCTGAACATCTGAGTGTAATTTTATCATGTCTCAGCTAGGCAAGTCACTTAAGGTCCTTGAACCTGTTTTCACCATTTGTTAAATAGAATATTACTGCCCAACCTATGCTACAAAGGAGTGCCATAGAAGGACTTACAGACCCCAAAAGAAGATAAAAACACTAAGTCTGAACTGTGGTTAATACTATAGGTTTGAGCATTCACTCTTCAAAATGATGTCTTCCTCTGGTCCCTACCTCAAGCAGTCTTACCAGGTACTGTAGGAACACTTTTCTAGATTACAAACCTCAGTTATCTCCTCCCTACTAACACAGAACCCCACTGTTGCACAGCTCTCACTTCCTGGCTGATCTACCAGGAAGGGCAACCAAAGTTTTATAGTCTTTAGTCCTTTTATATAGATTGTGCCACCTTTTCAGTTCTGGCTTCAGCTGCAGTTCTCTGTAGTATACCTATCTCTAACCAGAAGAATGAGTTCTCTATATAGAGCATATTCTCTATACTCAGCATGACTCTTCTAATACCTTACCTGTTCACCCAAAAAGTAAATAACTTGGTGGTGATCTAGTGGGAAGAGAGCCAGATGTACTTGATAACACATTGGCCTCTCAACTAGGTATATTGAGCCATGATCATTATGAGGCACTAGAACTTGGTAATTAGGGTATAGGTATATATAGTTTGGATACTACACCCCAAGCACATGATGATGCCTTAGATCCCTTGCAGCAAATCTGATATAACTTCCATATTCACAATGCCCTACATGGGACTCTGTGATCCACAAAGAAAAACCAATCTAAGTTAGATCCTGAACAGCTGGCCCTCAAGTACTGTGAGAAACAAAATTGTGTTGTTCAAGTCACCCAATCTGTGGTATTTCACAATTGCAGCCTTTGCAAAGGCAATAATAAAATATTTTCTTTAACCCAATAAATCCAAAGTAGTACCATTTCAACATGTAATCAATATTAAAATATTTAGTGAGATACTCTTTTTGTCATACAAAGTCTTCAAAGTCTGGGGCATAGTCTGCCATTCTAGTAGATCTCAACTGAGACCATCCCCACTTCAGATGCGACAGTCCAGTTTTAGAAAGTGATAAGAGGAAAAAGGATTATAATAACAGCTATCATTTCTGAGTCCAGCTACATACCAGTGTACACCAAAACTCCATTCCTAGTTCTCTCATTTCTTCCTTAAAATAACCTTATGAGACTGATGTTCTTTTCCCTATTTTACAAATGTGAAAGATTTAGGGAGTTTAAGAGATTTATGTTAAGTCACATAGTCAGCCAAGGGCAGAGGACACAGCAGGTCTGTTTGGCCCAAAGCACATTCTAATTGATTTCATGCTTCCCAGTCATAGATATCAGATGAATTGCTCTGGACTTTACCCTAAAGAAAAGCAGAAGGACCTAAACAAAGTTCAGAGAAACAGCACTAACATCGCTTAGCAAGGTGTGCAACCAAATCAGGTGTTTCCTGTGAAGAGACACCTATTATGGGAATTAGAGAAGCAATGTGATGACAAATTTCTCCAACCAAAAAAATTTTGAGAAGCAATGGTGAGTGGGTAAATAAAGTGAAGACAAAAGGAAAACAACACTAATCAGAAAGAGATAAATGAATTTGAACATTAACAAAGGTCAGAGCTGGTAATATAAAAATAATCACAGCCTTGGCAGATAAATATGCAATTTCAATGGAGTCCTGCCTCTGAGGTTGTCCTGGGAGAGAGGAGAAACCATAGCCTGGAGTCAGGTTAGGGGTTACCTGGATAGACTACAGGGCAAAGGAAAGTGAGTCAGAGGAAGAGCCAAGGTCGCAGTGGAGGAGAAAGTGATGTGCACAGCCACCCACAGTGTGTGTGGAAACACTCTGCCCTTTAATCTCCTCACGGGTGACCTTGGGAGACACAGCTGCTTATCCATGCTCAGCAAGGCCTAACTTCCAAGTTAGAGCCCATCTGAACAGTCCTCAAAGAAATGAAAACATCATACTAAATTTAATGAATGTGTACATTATCCTTTTCTATATAGAGTTTAAATACCTTTTATTTATGAATGACAGTAATAGTGAATAGTCACTGTTTGCATGGCTTTATTTTTTTAATGTCCTCACTTGGCAAATATAGAAGTTAAGAACCATATATTGTCCTCTGTGTTATTATTTTTTTAATTTAGTGGTATATAAAATAAAAAAAACATTACTTAAGACTTTGTCCTTTCTCATACATACTGAATTTTGCTCCTTTCTAGTGTAATTTCAACTACTCCTTCTACCCTAACTCCAATCTCTCAGTACAAAAATATGCTTAAATTTTTTTCCAAGTAAATCAAATTAAATAAAACCTTCCTTAAACTCTCGTCCCTTCCACTTTAGATACCCAAGCACCTGTTTCTTCTTGCCATTCTCTCCTCAACCCCTCACCTGGATTATTTTCACAATTTTTCACACTGGCAATTGAATATCAAATAATCTTCAATAGTTTTTCCACCAAAAATAAAGATTAATTAAAATCTATTATTCTAGGGCCTCCCTGGTGGCGCAGCGGTTGAGCACTGGGCTGCGAAGCTGCCCGCAGCCTCTGCAGCGCCTGTTCGATCCCCAGCCACGGGCGAGGGTCCCACATGGTGCACAGACCTCTCCTGCCCTGCCCACTGCTCCCCTCAGCAGTGTACTTCGTCTGTCTGCCTGTTCTGCTCCCCACTCTGGCTCTGGTGAATTCTCTCACCCTCCCATGCTTCTGACTGTACCCAGTGCTTGTATAAATAAATAAATAAATAAATCTTTAGAAAAAAAGTTTAAAAAAAATAATAAAATCTATTATTCTATTTGAATGTTTTCCTTCCTAGTTGAATCACTATTAAAACAAGTATTGCCTTCTCCTATTTAATTACCTTGGGAGGGTACCATATTTCAGCTACATTATGTGTTAAATAGTCCTTTGTCAGCTACCTTGGGAACTTAGCCAAATTTACATGCTTGTGTATATTTTTAAAAAGCCATGTTCCAAACTGGCTTTCAAATAAGTTTTGTTTTTCTTGTATGTTTTTACTGAAATGATGCAAGAATTGTACAAATAATTCCATTACCTTTCACTTAGATTTTCTAAGAGTGAGCATTTGAGGGTAAGCGGCAGACATGATGCTATTTATTTATTTATTTATTTTAAATTCTTTTTTTTTTTTTTTTTTAAGATTTATTTATTTCTACAAGCACTGCGTACAGTGAGAAGCGCGGGAGGGTGAGAGAATTCACCAGAGCCAGAGCGGGAAGCAGAGCAGGCAGAAGGACCGAAGTACACTGCTGAGGGGAGCAGCGGGTGGCAGGAGAGGTCTGCGCGCCATGTGGGACCCTCCTCCGGTGGCCGGGGAGCAGCCGGGGATTGAACCGGTGCTGCAGAGGCCGCGGGCAGCTTCGAAACCCAGCGCTCAACCACTGCGCCACCGGGGAGGCCCGACATGATGCTATTTATCCCTTGTATTATTCAGAGTTCATGAGAGAATAAACCAGTAGGGGCTATCTATCCATCTATAAAATTAAATATATCACTCTGTGTAATATAATCTATATTTATTACTATAGGTCATCTATGGAAATGACCCTCGAACAGTGCAGGTGTTAGGAGCACCAACCCCACCCAGTTGAAAACCATGTAGAACTTTTGACTCCCAAAGACTTAACTACAGCCATCATTGATCCAAAATCCCACAAAGCTCTTACAGTTCCTTATAGTCCACTCTCCCTATCCATGATTCTACATTCACTGATTCAATTAACAAAATATGCTGGTTGATTGAAACAGTGGATGCAGGACCTGCAGATAGAAAGAAATCGTCATATAAGCAGACCCATGAAGTTCAAATCCATGTTGTCCAA